TGATTTCACTGATACAGGGAATTTCCAAATGAGGAGACTTTTACCAGGACAGGTCAACACTTTTTTTTTCCCTGTAGCCTATACTATAATCTCAGAGAACTGCTTAGAGCATGGAGGTTAAATGACTTGCCCAGATCCACATGGCCAGTAAAGGTCAGAGGCAGGATTTGAACCTAGGTCTTCTTTGTTGTGAGGCCAGCTCTCTGTCCACTCATACCAAGGCAGCCTCAGTTTTTTTTTTTACAAGAGAAAGATTGTGTGGCACTGATAGTAGTTGTTTAGCCCTTATGTTCTTTGTCTCCTTCCCTCTTCTGCTTCTTTCACTGCCTGTGGCTGTCCTCCACATCTTAGTTTCACAATATAATGTAAAGAGCACTAGATCTGAAGTAAGAAGGTGTGAGTTTTACTCCCAACTCTGTTACTTGTGGGAGCTTGAACAAGTAGCCTTCTGTATTTCCTCATTGGTAAAATGGGATTAGATGAGGTAATTTGTGAGGTCCTTTCCAGCTTTCCAGTCTGTGACCTTTCTTGAGGTGAGAGTTGGGTTTTGTGTGAATGCAGAGAGCATAGGTGCTAGAAGACAGAGTTGGGATGAATGTGGAATCCCATGCAGGAGAAGACCTGGGTTCAGATATTGTCTCTGATGCTCACAAGGCATGAAACCTCCTGAATCTGTTTCCTCATCTGTTGAAATCAGAAGCTGGAGGGAGACACTAGGCATGTTAAGGAGTTGGATTTGATGTCTTTTAAGGCCTCTCATTCTAAATTTATGATCATGTGTAAATTAATTAAGCCCTTCAATTTACAGATGGGAAAACTGAGGACACTGGATTTCCACAAATCAGAACACAGGATTTTTTTTTCCTAGAAGTTAAAAGAAAAAGAAAAATCTCAACCCCCAAACCATCTTGGTTGCCAATTTCAACCCAACTGTCAGGTTTTTATAAAGCTTTTCCACCTCTCTGCCTCCTACCCAGCAGCCAAAATATAAAAAGAGAGAAAAATAGCAAAAGGAGAGCGTTTGAGGGAAAAAACTTTTTTGTTACATTTATTTCCATATTTCTTATGTCTTTTTAGATAGCAATGACTTGTAACGTAGTGACCCTGTGTTTTATTCTGCACATTCTTTCATTTCATTAGGTATTTTTGTATGATTTTAAAAATCGTACTCCTTGGATGACTTTCACCAGAATTTGGGAGACTAACCAGATATCAATCACATTTTATGAAACTTTTTATACGTGTTCTTCCAGAGCTGTTGTAGGAACCCTTTTTTTTAATTCTAAAAATATAGTATGTGAGGAGTTGATAGAAGAGACTAGAAAAGTTAAAGGCAAAAAAACTGGAGGAGACAAAAAGCTTCTGCTCAAAGCCATATTTCCTGGGGGCACAGCCGTGTTCTTTATCATAAACTTGGACCTACCCTGCTTGTCTGGGTGTTCTTCTGCCTCTCTGTAGCTGTCCATGGCTCCCTACTGTGGCATCTTATTGATCAGCCCCTTCTCTCTTAATTGGCTCCTCCTGCCTCCCAGACTTGCCCAAGGTCACATAACTAGTAAATGTCAGAGGGAGGATTTCACCCCAGGTCTTCTGATTCCAGAGGGGGCTCTTTCCACTGTCCCGTGTTTCCTTCTATCAATATATCCACCATTTGGGATTTTAAAAGGCCATACCAATACCCTCTAGAACTGGTTATTTTCTTTAGAAATTTCACATCTACAATTCATGACATCCAAATGGCAGGAGTACCTTATTATTTGGATGATTTTAACCTTCCTCAGATCTATCATGATGAGCACAGTCTTTTTCATAGAAAAAGCCCATAAGTTTTTATGAGAATGTAATTATTTGTCAACTTATTGGTGATGACAGTGGGATAAACTTCAGTGTAAATGGAGCAAGAGCTAAACACATGAGGTGAAGTGTACTTTTTATCATCTCTATTGTTGTTGTCTTAATGTTTAACTTTGCTGCTTATTTTCTTGTGTCAAATTAAAGCTTGTTCAGAGCCCTTTCTTGGCACCTGAAGAGACGTTGTGGGGTTATGGAAAGAAAATGAGGACTGGTGAGGGGGAAAAAACCCCAACAAAGATTTATACTAATTTTACAAATGAGGAAACCAAAGCTTAGATTAAGTCATTGACCCTCCCCAACAAAGTTTGGGGTCATGGTCTTTAAGATCTTCCACAAACAGGCAGGAATTTAGCCTAGTCCTAGGGGCTGCTGTCAAATGAATTAAGGCCAAACAGCTATATGTCCTGGGGACCAGAAAAGAGCAACCAGTTTGGAGTCAGAGGACTTGTATTCAAATTTTACATCTGCCGCTATCTGTGTAAGGTTGGACAAGTTATTTAATCTCTTTGGGCCTCAGTTTCACCATTTATGAAATAAAGAGGACTTCAGAGGCAGTTAGGTAGGGCAGTAAATAGTACTGAACCAGGAATCAGGAGAATGTGAGTTCATATCATCCTCAGCATTTATTAGCTGTGTGACCCTAGGCAAGTCACTTCTCCTGTGCTAACTAATTTTCTTGATCTGCAAAATGGAAATAATAATAGCATCAACCCCCCCCCAGAGTTCTTATTAAAATCAAATGAGTTAATATTGTAAAGTCCTTTGAAAACTCAAAGGGTTATATAAATGTCAACGATTCTAAGATCCCTTCCCTCTGAAGCTGTGATCCTATTATTGTAAGAGCTCTGCTGCTGCTAACTGGGCACAATGTTACATGTAACACATGTCTCACGGGATTGCTCTGAAGATATACACACATAAATACACATATATATTATATATACACATATGTATATACAAATATATATGTAAACACATATGTATACACATGTGTCTATATAGACACACAAAAACATATATACAATTTTTTCCAGAAGAAAACTCCCTCTACCAATGCAGATCAACAATTGTTCAGTGACTTAAAGTCTGAGAAGTAGGAGAATACGTGACTTACCTAGGCTCAAACAGCTATCATGTATCACATCACAGGCAGGATTTGAACCTAACTAAGTCTTCCTGACTGTGAGCTTGTCTCTCCACTGTGTTCCATTGCCTCTCAGTATATTCCTGGTAAAACTATAAAATCCTATATAAATGCCAGTTCTGAAATTGCCTTTTCTTACTTTACCCCCAGCCCCTGCAAAGCTCTCTTATCAACTCTTCTAACAGCTGTAGTCAGTATTCCTTAACTTACTTGCATACCTTATCATTAAGGTACAATTGCAACTTATTTTGGTTAAACATCTACAAAACCAGCAGCTTTCCCCACCCCTGCTACAGCTAATAAGGAGCCCCTGGATTTTTTTTTTTTTAACAAGGAGGTGATACATTTTGGAAGCTCACTTTGATAGCTAATTGGAAGTTGGATTGGAATGGGGAGAGCCTTAAGGCAGGGAGACCAACCCGCAGGCTATTGCAACAGCTCAGGCATGAAGTGAAAAGGATCTGCACCAAGGTGGTAAAAGTGTCAGAGCAGACAAGGGGACATATCTGAGAGATGTTATGGAGGTAAAATCGACTAGACTTGGCAACAAATTGGATGTGGGGGGGAGTGAGAGAGAGAGAGGTGTTAGGGATGACATGTAGGTTGTGAACCTAGGGACTGGGAGGATGATGATAACCCCAACAGTAATAGGGAAATTAGGAAAGGGGAAGGGTTTGGGGGGAAAGATGAGTTCAGTTTTTGACACGTTGAGTTTCCAAAGAATTCTATGCCACATCCAATTTGAGATGTCCAATAGGCTGTTGAAAATGTTGGACTAGAGGTGAGGAGAGAGATTAGGGCTAGATAAGTAGATCTGAGAATCATCAGCATAGAGAAGATAATTGAATACATGAGAGCCCAACTGAAATAGTATAGAGAGAGAAAAGAAGAGGGCTTAGGATGGAGCTTTAGGGGACACCTATGGTTAACAAGCATGACTTGGATGAAGAATCAATGAAGGAGACTGAGAAGGAGCAGTCGAATGGTGGGAGACAGTGGCGTCTCAAAAACTTAGAGGAAAAGAAAGTGATTGACGGTATCAAAAGCTGCAGAGAGATCAAGGATGAAGATTGAGAAAAGGTTTGGCCTTTCAGAGTTATCTGGTAACTTTGGAGAGAGCAGTTGAATGATGATGTCTGAAGCCAGACTGTAGAGAGTTAAGGAGAGGAAAAGAAGTGAAGAAACTAATTGTAGATGGCCTTCTCAAGGGTGTTAACCACTAAAGGGAGGAGAAATATAGGAAAATACTGTGGGAACTGATGGATCAAGTGAACATTTTTTTTCAGGATGGGTAAGATATTGGCTTATGTTGATCAGGGAAACAACCAGTAAAGTGCAGTCAAGGAGAGATTGAAAAATAGTAAAAGAGACCTATAATAGCTTAAAGCCGCACTAAGATTTGGGGGCCACTCTGTATGAATGGAACAATCTGTTGGAGAAGTCTTTGATGGAAAGGGATCAGTTACGCATGGACAGGGGTTTGCCTTGGTAGGTAAAAGGGCCACCTTTACATGTGAGACAAGGGTGAAGGAGAAGGAGGAAATGGTGGTGGAAGACAACTGAGTGCTATGAGATGAAGATGAAGGGAGAAGACGGACCACTTGGTGAATGGCTTCAGTTTTTGTTTTTGTTTTTTTTTCCCAGCAAAATATGAGGCAAGGTTCTCAGATGAGAAGTCAGTGAGAGTGAGTTATGGGACATTTGAGAAAGAAAGAAAGGGTGTGGAAAAGCCACTGTGGTGAGTAGGATAGTGAATTGATTAGGTAGATATAAAAGCATTACCTTGCTGCTGTAAGAGCCCGTTTGAAAAAATGTAGCATAAATTTCTCGTGGATCCAGTTAGCAGTTTCATGATCAATAATAGTATTCTTTCCTCTGTTGTTTTTTTCTTTCTTCCTTTCTCTCTCCTCCACCCTCAAAACTGCATCAGACTTTAAGATAGGAAAAGAAGGGCTGAACATAATTCTAGCTGAAAAGATGTTTTTGCATTTGGTTTTCCTAGATGAGAATTCTCCAGCCAACTTTTGGGATTCCAAGAACCGAGGTGTGACTGGGACACAAAAAGGACAAATTGTATGGAGAATTGAACCTGGGCCCTATTTTATGGAACGTAAGTAAATGCAGGGTGACTGCTAAGTGTTATATGAAGATGCAGAAATCTATGGCTGATCGGATGATTTTTTTTTGCTGTATTTTCTGATGAATGCTCTTTAGTACCATTTAAATATGCTTAATATGTTTATGACAGTTATCTAAATAGTATATTAGCTGTTAAATAATACAGACTTTTAAGAAACATATGCAATTATCTCTCAATTTTGTGTGCTAACTTAAAGTCATAGAAATTTTTATGTCATAAGGAAAGCATCTAGACCAACTCTTTTGTAAATGAGCAACCTGAAGCCCAACAGAGATACAGTAATATATTTAATACAATCTAATTAGTGTGAGGGGCAGGACTAGAATAAAATCTTAATGACTTCTTTCCCAAAGTTCTAGCTTCCCTGCCTAGCATTTCTATCACTACACTTCAAATCCTCTGACTATAGGAAATTCACAGAGTAAATAACCAAAAAATTGTCTGTATAGTAGTTATATTATGTTACCTGCAATATGGTATACTTAAGCTTCAAAACTTTCTTAGTATTTTCTGTACCTGCTATTTTTAATATTTAACAAATCAGAGAATCACGTAGTTGAAAGATGAATCTTTTCCATAATATCCATGACGAGTGGTCATCCAGCCTTTGTCCATCTGTGGAAGGTCCTACCGTATTTCTAAATTTGACATTTTTTAAATAGGGAAGACATTAAAAAAAGAGGTGGAATATTTGATTTTCCAGCTTTTCTTAAGGTATCAAAATTCCTGTATTCTAGGAATACTGGGGAATTCCAGGAGTAAGGATGTATGTAGAGAAAGAAGTAGCTGTGATGATGGAATTGGTACTTAAGAGATACTAAAGGAGCAAAAATTTTGTAATGAATAAATAAATAAGTCAAGCATTTGTTAAGAGCTTACTACGTACCAGGCACTGTTCTTAGTTCTGGAAATATGACCAGAATACTTCTTAAATCCCTACTCCAATGCCTCATCATGGTATAGAGGTGATCCTTTAAGGCTATATCAATGGAGCGTGAGATGCATCAGGTTCCATCCTAGAAAAGTCTTGAATTATGGTCCTGGCCACATACCTAAATATGCTGTGTTTGCAGGGATCATCCTAGTTAAGTATGGAAAAGCTTATCCAGCTACTTGTTGATGAATTTCTTGGCTTAGGCAACATATGAAACAAAAAAAAAATGCAAAATAGTACTTCATCTTGTGTAGCTCCCTTTTTCACTGCAATGATGGTGGCAGAAAAGGGGAAAAGGCAGGTGAGTTAGAGAAATCAGTGTTTGGACTGTCAATAAATGTGAACTTAAATGTTGTGTACTCTAAATGTGAGCTATAGGTCCAGTGGACATAAATATTTCTAGCGTTAATGAATCATGTTAGTCTTGGCATTTTTTCCTATAAATGAACCAGATGACAAAAAGAAGTTGCAACTAAATAGAAGGATAATTTGCAGGTTCTCCTGGGACAGGCAGAATTGGTTTTATTGTGCACTCAAAACCAAAAAGAAATATCATTTCATGAGACCCATAGTCAGCTCCCATTGCAGCGCTCATGCTAGCAATTTTCAATACAACTAGGAAGATAACTATAGTCTATGCATCAATATCTCTTGCAAAAGTTAAAAAGTTAGAGAAATTTTTACACTGAACTCAATAAGACTTTCCAAATTAAACCAATATATGCATTAATACTAAGTGACTTCAATGTAGGGGTGATGAGCATAGGGGACAACAGGAAAATTTTTTGGAAAACATGATTCAAGAGTAATAAATGAGAGTGGACAAAAGTTTGTAGACTCCACAAATTTTTCATTGAAGTATATCATGAATACTTTCTTCACGAGAATTAGGAGGCTCTGAACATACGAGGCATCAAATAACATAACAAAAACCAAATCAACTATCTTTTAACAGGCAGGAAATGACTAGTTACTGATGTGATGGTCATTTTTGCATCACCTGTCCGTAGGGATTAAGACTAAAGATCCATTAGACTAAAGATCAATGGCAATTTCAAATTCGAAAAGAAAGAATGTGAACATATGCAAGTCATAGAATCACAGAATCTGTGAGTTGGAAGGAACCTCAGTGGTCAACTAGCCCAAACTTTACACAAAAGGAATCCCCACTTTAACATATTTGACAAGTGATCATCCAACCATCCAGGCAAATCTAATCTGACTTATTTAAACAAGCTGTTTGACCTCCCAAGATTGGTTAATGGATAAAAGAACAGACTTCAACACAAATAACATTATTTCCTAAAGATGTTTGACTAACTAATACAAACAAATCACTAGAATGAGGGCAAATAAAAAGAACCTAGAAACCATCATAGCCAAAAAGTAGAGAAGAGTATGAACAAATGAATGATAAAGCATTTATTGAGTACTTATTTTGTTCCAATCACTGTGCTAAGTGCTAGGAACAGAAATAGGAAAAGTGAGACAATCCCTGTCTTTGATGATCCCACACTCTAATTGAGGGAGACAGCACTAAAAGATAATTCAGCTGTGGGACTGATGGAAAAGCCCAGCAGTTCTTAGATTGCATCAATAGGTCAGATAAAAAAAGGTTGGGTCTCTAAAGCATTGGAGCAGATGGAAAGGCCTGTTGCTTTTCTGTCTTGCCAGAGGAAAGAGAGTTGGTGACTGCTAGCTTATCTAAGCAGTGTGAGCAGTCAAGCAGCCCATATGGGATCTGACCACCTTGGGCTGTGGGAAGAGGTGAAGGCCCACTCTGGTCAAAGGCAATACCAATTTCAAATATAAAACATTGGTAAAATTCAACAGAGGAACATGGTGAAAGATAATAAACGTGTTCACTTCATGAAATAGTGACAATAAATACAGGGAAAAAACAAGTTTAAAGAAAGCTTGAAGAATGAACTGAGGGAGCCATCATGAATACATTTAAGGGTAAAACTGGAAGAGGGACAGTTATCAGATAAAAATGGAGAAGGGCTGTTAAGATGTCTACTGCAAACAAATGAAACTTCTACATTTGGATTCAAATAGCACAGTCCCTAATGTGCTCAATAAGGATTTGGCCAAGCATATACAAAAGACATCCATCCTGGGTGGGAGAGGGACAATTTTGAGGGCATTAACAGATTAGTTCACAAGATTTTGGAAAGAGGAGAGGGTTAAAAAGTTTAGAAAAATGTATGTATCTTGTTATTTTAAAAAAAGGACAGAAAATAACAATTATTACCCCATGTGCCTACTTATCTTTTAAAAATCTCTAAGAGAACAATTATAGGCATCCTGGACAAAGGAAATAGGTAGAGTTAGACTTTCCCAAATGACATTCCACAACAAATGACATCTTTATAGTCACAATTGAATGAAGGATGTAGAAAATTCAAGATTTCTTGTGCTTATTGTTTGTTGATGATGAAAAAGCGTTTGATCGAGAGCAGAAGCTCTTTTCTAACCAGATCTTTCCCATTCCTATGTAAAAATCATGTAAGACTCTTTGAAAGATGTGACAATAGAGATAATTGTGTCTGACAGGTCTGGGATTATTAGTGTTAAATGAGGAATGAAATGAAGAGATGTTGAAGTGTAGTAAATGGAGAACTAGCTTTGATGTTAGGAAGACCTATGCTGAAGTCCTACCCCTGACATATATTGACTATGTAACTCTGAGCAAGTCGCTCATGTGTCCCAGTCAACTGTCTATACCTGTAAATTGCAAAACAAGTGCTGACCTAAATTGATAGGAAGTCTCCTCGGAGTTCCTTACACCAATGAAAACATAGGTCTGGTTCCAGTGGGAAAAAAATAACCCCAAAGACTTTGGCCTACTTACCTATGTAAGGGAAAAAAAAGAAATGATGAAGAAGGCCTCTTGTCCAGACTATGATACACAGTAAAATGGAAAGACCATGAAGCTGGTCTGTGAAGCTGGACAGACATTCCAGTGGTCAATGATCCAAGTTCATTATTGAACATGAAAATGAGTAATGGATTGCTTTTGAGAAATGGTAGTGTTTACAATGTCCTAAGCTTCTCCCTGAAACAAAAGCTTATTTTTAAAATATCACTGATCTTCTAGTAATGCTCTATGATTGCAAATCAGAGAATACAGCAGTCTACAGAGAATTAAAATTGTGGGGTTACCCAGAGGAGAATGAAGTGGAGCGTGGCAGGTTTGTAAGCTGCAGCATGGCACCAATGAAGAGAAAAGCAGGAAAAGTGGCACAGCATACTTTATGAGAAAGATGTATGACCAGAAAAGGGAGTAGTAGGCCAGTTGTGATCAAATCAAGAGATAATGGATAGACATCCTATGCTCTAATTGCATCTGTACAAAATCAAGAGATCTAGAGGAAATCCCCATTAAAATGTAAGCTCCTTGAGGGTGGGACCATATTTTTGCTTTTCTTTGTATCCCAGCACTTATCACAGTGCCTGGCACATAGTAAGAACTTAATAAGTGCTTCTTCACTGACTGACACATAATTTATCATATTTATTCCAGTCCTCCTTAATCTGATCACCTTCCTTCTGAGACTCCTTCCAATTTATCCTGTATTTATTTATTTTCTATTTGTATCCCTAGCACTCATCCCCAGTGCTTTGCATATAGTGTGCTAACAGTCGAGAATTCACAAAGCACTTTACATGTGTTATCTCATTTGATCCTTGAGGTAGATGCTATTATCATCCCCATTTTACAGACGAGGGAACTAAGGTTGAGAGAGGTTCAGTCTTGCTCAGGGTCAGTCAGCTAGTTTTCTTCAGCAGAGTTCTGGAACTCAGGTCTTCCTGATTCTGAATTTCCCGTACTATCTGTTCCACCACACCTAAGCGCTGAATAAATAGTTTTTAATTTAATCATTCATGCCACTATTTCTTCAGATTTTCTGCAGCGGGCTCTTATTTTCCTACTCTGAAGGACTACATCACATAGAATACCTACAATGATACTGAATGTCATTTCTTTCATGTTTTTCTGCCCTGAGATAATTAAAGAATTGTGGTTAGCCCA